TCCCTGTCTGAGGGCGGAAGAGGTCCCTGTCTGAAGGGGGCAATGCCCTGTTTGAAGAGGGAGGAGGTCCCTGACTGAGAGGGGAGAATGCCCCTTTCTGAGGGGAGAGGTGATTTTGTCTGAGGGAGGAGGAGGTTCCTGTCTGAGGGGGGAGGACACCCTGTCTGGGCGGGGGGAGGTCCTGTCTGCGATGTGGCATTTACAGAAAGGACAAGAGTCATAACTGGCATTCGCCGAGGGGTTTGAGCCCCAGCGTTGCCAATCACTCCTTTTCTTAAATACCTTTTGAGATACCTCTGAATTTGAGAAAATGCATTTTGGCTGGGATGGGCATTGTCAGAACTGAATATAAAGAAGGCACACCTCAGGCCACCCAGTGCCTTTTGCGAGGATCATCTCAGAAAAGCCACCATTCCTTAACCTGTCCAAATTTCACTTTTTAATAATTTACACTGAGCCATCGCTGCTCTGGTGATGGCTCTAATTAACCGTTGGAAATTTTCTTTGGGACCTCCGGTCAATTTCATGGGGGACTGGAAATCTATTGATCAAATTGGGCTGGAAGAGCCGAGGGAATCGTGGGTGGCTTGGAAAACTGTGGGAAAATTGCTTTATCAATTACATGATGAAAAGTAATGAACGAGAATACCTTTGCTTTAAAACTAAGGAAGATTAGAGGGCTTGCACCGTGGCAGGCTGGCAGACCAAATAAATATGAAAATCTCTCTTTTTTTTTTCATTAAGGAATTTCACACTGTTAGAAGTACAGTACCAACAACTTTTTTTTAAAACCATTTAATAGCTCATCACCCTGAAATAGTTCCGCAAGGGTTTCCAACAAGCAAAAGTATTCTCCTACATAACTCCCACACAATTCTCATCTCAGAATCAGGACATTAAGGCCAATTCATTAGCACCACATAATCCAGTCTGTTTGTTTTCTTTTAACTGCGGTAGATACACAGGGAACAAATCGTTTGCCCTTTCAAGATGCTTCAGGTGTACAATTCAGTGACCTTAGTTAGGTTTCTCATGATGTTCAACCATTACCTTGATCCGTTTCCACTTGTCCCATTCTGTAATCCAGTTTTTGGTCCTTGGAAGGAAAACAATGCAGTTCAGACACTGGCGTTGCATTTTCTTGCCCTGGTTTTTCAGTCTGGTCAATCTGAAATAGCTCTTCAGTTTTTCTCTTTCGTGACCTTGATGTTTTTGAAGTTTGCCAGTTGCTGTCGAGTCGATTCCGACTCGTGGCGACCTCGTGCGTGTCAGAGTAGAACTGTGCTCCGTAGGGTTTTCAATGGCTGGTTTTACGGAAGTAGATAGCCAGGCCTTTCTTCCGAGGGGCCTCTGGGTGGACTTGAACCTCCAACCTTTCGGGTAGCAGCCGAGCATGTTAACTCTTGGCACCACCCAGGGATTCCTTTTGAAGGGTACGGACTGGGTGTTTTGTGGAATGGCTCTCCATTTCAGCCTTTTTGATGCTTTTTCATGATCAGGTTCAGATTTTGCATTTGAGACAGGAATATCACAGACAGGATGCTGTGTCCCTCATAGCGGGAGACACGTGACCTCGATTCATCCCATTACTGGGTTGTTAACCTTGATCGCTTGATTGAAGTGATATCTACCGGGCTTCTCCACTGTAAAGTTCATCTTTTTTTCCTTTCCAGTTATAAATCAAAAAAAAAAAAAAAGTAACCATCACAATGTAGCAAAATTTAAGCTAAGGGAGATTTAAAAAAAAAAATCATTTTTCACTCAGCCTTTAAGACAATGAGTATTGACTGCTTGTAAGAGAAGGCATGATGTTTGTGTATGTCTGCATCTTTTTCCTTTTGGCTTAAAAATAAGCAACCATCGACCAAAAGGCCAACGTGGGCAAATATTTCTAAATTCTTCCAGCTGGAAAAACCAGCTCTCTGCTCCCACCACCAAACGCATATAGGTGTTAGGTGCCGTTGAGTCGAATCTGACTCATAGCGACCCCATGTGTTACAGAGTAGAACTGCCCCGTAGGGTTTCCTAGGCTATAACCTTTACGGGAGTAGATCGCCAGGTCTTTCTCCTGCGGTGTCGCTGGTGGGTCCAAACTGCCGATCCTTCGGTTAGCAGCCAAGTGCCCAACCATTGTGCCACCAGGGCTCCTTTGCCACAGGCAGAGAGGTTCCCAATTTGCGAGAATAAAGAGGTTTTACCTTCAATCTCTTTGTGAGCTATAATAATCTAGGCACGCTGCTTTCTACCCCACTGACCCAGAGTCGTGATTTTCTTTTGCAAAGGCGAGATTGTCTGAAGACTATGGGAAACCCTAAACAAAACCGCTTATCCCCCAGGATGTTTTTTAATGCACGTGGGTGTGTTTTCCCCAGCATTATGTCATTTCTCTAGCCAGTTAGGGGTGGGACGGAGGAGTGCTTCAATGTGACACCCGAAAGGCACTCTGACGGGTTAGTCAGAGTCTGGGTGGATCTGGGCATCTGTGGAATTCCGCCTACTTTGTTGTAATAACCCAGAAACAAATTAAAATCTGCCCATCATTCCCGAGGGAAGCCCAGCCAGGGTTGACGTCTATGCCGGTCCCATTTGGCTTCCTTGCTGTGTTAGTTTCTTAGTGCTGCTGTAACAGAACGACTACGAAAAACCCAACCAACCCATTGCCATCGAGTCGATTCCGACTCATAGCGACCCTATAGGACAGAGTAGAATTGCCCCGTAGGGTTTCCAAGGAGCGGCTGGTGGATTCGAACTGCTGATCTTTTGGTTAGCAGCCAAGCTCTTAACCACTGCGCCACCAGGGCTCCTCGGAAATTTATTTTCTCACAGTTCCGGAGGCTACAAGTCCCAATTCAGTGTGTGGCTCTAGGGAGAGGTCCCTCTTTGTCTGGGTCAGCTTCTAAGTAAGTAAGTAACTAACTGGTTCCCGACACGTCGATTCTGACTCATGGCAACCCTGTGTGTGTGTCAGAGCAAAGTGTGCTCCATAAGGTTTTCAATGCCTGATGTTTTGGAAGTAGATTGCCAGGCCTTTCTTCTAAGGCACCTCTAGGTGGGCTTGAACCTCCAAAGCTTTCGGTTAGCAGCCAAGCACGTTAACCGTCTGCACCCATCCAGGGATGTCATTTCAGCTTCTAGTAGTCTGCAATCCTTGGCGTTCCTGGGCTTGTAGATTCTTCTGCCTGTGTTGACATCAGATGGAGCCTGTCTTCCATTATACGTACTGTCTTGTCTCTGTGTCTATGTTGCTCCGTGTGACTCAAAAGTGATTAGGTTTAGGCTCCACCCTATACTGATGTGGCCTCATTAACGTAAAGAAAACCCTATTCCCAAATGGATTACATCCACAGGTATAGGGGTTAGGAGTCCAGCACATCTTGGATACAATTCAATCCATAACGCTTGCTAATGGAGGCAAGCTGGATTTAGAGGCCACCCCCTTCTGTGGTCTCCATCAAGTCTGGGGACTCTCGAGTCACCTGGTTGCGTTCAAGGCCAACACATCCATCGGACACAGGAGACGCGGAGCCCATAATACTTTCAAGCATCCATAAAAATGTTTTCGTTTCTTTGGCAATCAGAGGGGGACAAAATGAATAGAATCCAGCTTGGATTATATTCATCTTTCTACCAATGCAGTTATAAAACATAATGTTTATTATTATTTTTTAACAGAGGAAGGGCACACCCAGGCAAAAACGCGTGGGGCTCACAAAAGTTCCAGTGGGGTCCTGAGTGGGTTTTGCTGCTAAGAATTCCTCCTGGGCTGCAGAGGTGGCTAAGGGGAAGCAGGGGGAGGTGGGTCCGCGCTAACCCCAGATGCCTCCCCCAGGTGACCTGGATGAGGACATAATCCCGGAAGAAGATATCATTTCCAGGAGTCAGTTCCCTGAGAGCTGGCTGTGGAGTATAGAGGAGCTCAAAGAGCCAGAGAAAAATGGGTACGGCTGGGAACCCCCCCCCCACTTCAACCCCACCCCCAGCCCAGCTGAGACACAGGTTCTTCCTCCCATCACTGCCCCCAAGACCCCACCATTTAATTTGCATGCACCCCCAACCTCCCTTGCCCCCGCCCCAAGGTCCCTGGGTGGTGCAAATGGTTTGCGCTTAGCTGGTAACCAAAAGGTTGAGGGTTCAAGCCCACCCAGCAGCACCGCAGAAGAAAGTCATAGAGATCTGCTTCCATTAAGATTAGTGTTGTTGATTGCCGTCAAATTGATTCCAACTCATGGCGACCCCACGTGTGCATGGAGTAGAACAGTGCTCCGTAGGGTATTTCAAGGCTGTCACCTTTCTGAAGCAGATTGCCCGGGCTTTCTTCTGAGGCACCTCTGGGTGGGCTTGAACTGCCAACCTTTCTGTTAGTAGTCCAGTGCTTAACCATTTGGGCCACCCAGGGCCTCCTGCATAAAGGTTACAGGCAAGAAAACCCTATGGAGCAGTTCTGCTCTGTAACACATGGGGTCGCCATGAGTCAGAATCCACTCGATAGCACAAAACAACAAAAATAAAAACAACCCCAGCTCCCCAACTCCTCCTTCTTTGGAATCACCGTGCGATCTCACAGTTCAACCTGGAAAACTCAACAGTTGGGTTTCTTACCTGTGCCCATGCCCCCAATCTGTCCCCATCGGTCCCCTTCCCCCCTAACGTCCCTGCCTCTCTCCCACCCGCACCCAGAATCTCCACAAAGATCATGAACGTGTTCTTGAAAGACTCCATCACCACCTGGGAGATCCTGGCTGTGAGCTTGTCGGACAAGAAAGGTGAGGGGAGATGGTGGGCCATCCTTGGGAGGAAGGGACCGCGGGGGCTCTCAGGATGTTCTGGGTGACTTACACTCTGCCTCTTGGTTAGTGGAGAGCTGTCACATGCTGGTCTGTGGAGGACTCTTGTTGTTAGTCACTGTCACGTCTATTCCAACTCATGGCACCCCCACGTGTGCAGAGTAGAACTGTGCTCTATAGAGTTTCCAGTGGCTGATTTTTTGGAAGGAGATCACCAGGCCTTTCTTCCAAAGCACCTCTGGGTGGACTTGAACTTCCATCCTTTTGGTTAGCAGCTGAGCTCGTTAACCGTTTGTACCACCCAGAGATTCCAATAATTGTTTGTTGTTAGTTGCTGTTGAGTCAACTCCAACTCATGGCGACCCCATGTATGCAGAGCAAAACTGCTCCACAGGCTCGGGGAAAATCTAGCTCAATTGGCATAACATAGTTTATAAAGAAAATATTCTACATTCTACTTTGGCGAGTAGCGTATAGGGTCTTAAAAGCCTGTGAGCAGCCATCTAAGATACTCCACTGGTCCCACCCTGTCTGGAGCAAGGGGGAATGAAGAACACCAAAGATACAAGGGAAAAATTAGTCCAAAGGACTCACGGACCACAACTACCACAGCCTCCGCCAGACTGAGTCCAGCACAACTAGATGGTGCCCGGCTACCACCACTGACTGCTCTGACAGGGTTGACAGTAGAGGGTCCCGGACAGAGCTGGAGAAAAATGTAGAACAAAATTCTAACTCACAAAAAAAGCCCAGACTTACTGGTCTGACAGAGATTGGAGAAACCCTGAGAGTATGGCCCTCAGACACCCTTTTAGCTCAGTAATGAAGTCACTCCTGAGGTTCACCCTTCAGCCAAAGATTAGACAGGCCTATAAAACAAAATAAGACTAAAGGGGCACACCAGCCCAGGGGCAAGGACGAGAAGGCAGGAGGGGACAGAAAAGCTGGTAATAGGGAAACTAAGGGTTGAGAAAGGGAGAGTGTTGACATGTCGTGGGGTTGGTAACCAATGTCATAAAACAATATGTGTGCTATTTGTTTACTGAGAAGCTAGTTTGTTCTGTAAACCTTCATCTAAAGTACAATAAAAAGAAAGAAAGATGAAAGGAAAAGACCCGGCTCCATAGGGTTTTCAATGGCTGTGATCTTTCAGAAGTAGATCACCAGGCCTTTTTTCCAAGGCGCCTCTGGGTGGGTTTGAACTGCCAACCTTTCAGTCAGTAGTTGAGCGCTTAACTGTTTGTGCCACCCAGGGCTCTTAGTCTGTGGAGGATCTAGTCTCTAAAATGGGTGCTTTTGCAGCAATAAAAACTCTTCAGGGCTGATGTTGACAGGACAGTGGGTAAGATGATTAAGAAAGGAAAAAAGCAAACAGTGTGACATGCGTGATTGAAACACCAGGGTTCAGATTGAGAAGTGTGACACAGACGTGGACAAAGCGTGGTCCCTTTTCTTTCTAGACCTGTCCCCCCCCCAACACCCCCCAACAAACATCCTGATGTAAGAACCTGCCTCCTCCATCACCACCAACTCATGGTGCCCCCGTGTGTCACAGCAGAACTGTGCTCCGTGAGGTTTTCAATGGCCGAGTTTTCAGAAGTAGATCACCAGGCCTTTCTTCTGAGGTGCCTCTGGGTGGACTCAAACTGCCAACCTTTCAGTTAGCAGCCGAGTGCATTTTAACTGTTTGCACCACCCAGGACTAACTAAAATTAATTTTTACTAAAACTAAATAAAAGTAAAATTCCAGATCCCATTTAGGCTAGCCATATTTCAAGTGCTCAATGGCCACCTGGGTCCCTGGATGTCACAGATAAAGTCCCTTTAGTTATTCAGGCCTTCTTCCCCCCTTACATATCTATTTATAAATAAAACTAGAGAGAAAGTGGAAATCACTTAATCAGAGCAACCCTCAAACACCACCACCATTCTTGACGACATCACCATGAAAACTATTATCAGTCATAAAAGAAATACAACCAGAATGCTCCATAGAAGTGAGGATGGCGAGACTGACTCATTTACTTTGGACACGTCATCAGAAAAGACCAATCGCTAGAAAAGGACATTCATGGTTGGTAAAGCAGAGGGTGAGTGAAAATGAGGGAAACCCTCCACAAGATGGATTGACATGATGGCCGCAACCACAGACTCAAACATACCAACGATCGTGAAGATGGCGCAGGACTGGGCAATGTTTAGTTCTGTTGTACATGGGGTCGCCATGAGTTGGAGCCAACTTGATGGCCACATACAACAACAGTCTATGGGCTTCTAGAAAGACGGAGGGAGCTAGGGAAAGCTCCCGTTATTTGGGGTGTTAAAAGAACATTCTGACATTAATTTTATAGAGTGCATTTGGTTTCAGAAAAGACTCATGAATTGGTGGCACAGACTTAATGAGGTGTTCTCCCCGGACAGAGAAAAGCTGGGAGGTTCCTGTTTTGTTTTGGTGAAAATATACACAGCAAAATATACACAAGTTCAACAACTTCTACGTGTACAATTCAGTGACATTGATTACCTTAGTCAAGTTGTGCAACCATTTTTGCTATCGTTTTACAAATTGTTCCACCATCATTAAGATGAACTCACTGCCCCATAAGCTTCTCATCTAACCTTTCAAGTTGCTGTCGTCAATTTGATCCCACATAGTTCTTTAAAAGAGTACAACGCTCAAAGTAGACTTTTTTTTTTTTTTTTTTACTAATTAAGCTAAGCTCTGGTTTGGTTTAACGATGACTTCAGGGGATAGTTTCAGCTTAAGGTTTAAAGATTATCTCAGGGCAATAATTTCAGGGGTTCTTTCAGCCGTCATGGCTCCAGAAAATCTGGATTCCATGAAACTTTTAACTTCTGTTCCACATTCTCCCCCACTTTGATCAGCATTCTTCTATAGCGTCTTTGATCCGAATGTTCTATAATGTTAGCCTGGCACCATCCAGTTCTTCTGGTCTCATGAAAAGCTGGGAGTTTTTACAAGGAATAAAACGCAGAAAGAGAGGGAGAGAAAGCAAAACAAACAAAGCATTTTTCATATATTTTGACACATCATCAGGCTATGCAAGTAAACATTTAAACTTCTCAATTCAAAAGGGTTTAATATCTGAACTACAACCTTTAAGCAAACAGGCAGATCAAAACATGGGTACAAGGAAAAATGTTTGTGCGTACCAGCGAGGTCAAAGGACACAGAAATTTCAAATGAGGGGAAGGCAGAGGTGGAATCATTCAAGCCTGTTTAATGCCGGGAGTCCCTGGGTGGTGCAAACAGTTAAGTGCTTGACTACTATCCAAAAGGTTGGCAGTTCAAACCCACCCAGAGGCACTTTGGAAGAAAGGCCTGGTGATCTGCTTCTGAAAGGTCAGAGCCTTGAAAACCTGATGGAGCAGTTCTACTCTGCACACAGGGGGTCGCCATGAGTTGGAACAGACTTGGCGGCCACTAACAACAACAACGTTGTCAGTTTGTGGTACTGTGATGGCTTGTGTGTTGCTGTGACGCTGGAAGCTATGCTATTGGTTTTCAAATACCAGCAGGGTCATCCCTGGTGGACAGGTTTCAGCAGAGCTTCCAGACTAAGACAGACTAGGAAGAAAGGCCTGGTGATCTGCTTCCAAAAGGTCACAGCCTTGAAAACCCATGAAGCACAGTTCAGACAAGGAAACCAAGACCTTGGGAGGAGCAGGGATTGGACCAGAAGCCTGGCCCTGTCTACCCTGCCCTACCCCTGCCCCTGATGCTCCATGTTCTGTCCCCGCCCGGGCAGGGATCTGTGTGGCCGACCCCTACGAGGTCACGGTGATGCAGAACTTCTTCATTGACCTGCGGCTCCCCTACTCTGTGGTGCGTAACGAGCAGGTGGAGATCCGAGCCGTCCTCTACAACTACCAGAAGGATAACATCAAGGTGGGCCCCCAGGACAGCAGAGGCCTGATGGGGGGTTGGGGGTCCCGCGGCACACACGCCTCTCACCTGACGCCTTCTGTCTCCCGCAGGTACGGGTGGAACTGCTCTATAACCCGACCTTCTGCAGCTTGGCCACTGCCAAGAAGCGCCACCAGCAGACCCTGACCATCGCGGGTGAATCTTCAGTGTCCGTGCCTTTTGTCATTGTTCCCCTGAAGATTGGCCTCCAAGAGGTGGAGGTCAAGGCCGCTGTCTACAACCAATTCATCAGCGACGGTGTCAAGAAGACCCTGAAGGTCGTGGTGAGTCCATGGGGGGACCTGCTGCCCCTGGTGCTTCCCGAAAGGCCCCCGTTCTCTGTCCCCGCAACCCAGGTTGGAGATCCAGGCTCTGAGACACCAAGAACCACGGTGTCCAGCTTAGGATCCTCAGAAGTCTTACAAGTTCAGAAGCAGGGCCAGGATTAGGGTCACCTCAGGCACAACGTTTTGTGGCGGAAGTTGTTAGCTGCTGTCATGGCGATCCCATGCACGACGGAATGAAATGCTGCCTGGCCCTGCGCCATCTCCATGATGGGTTGCGAATCAGACTGCTGTGATCCATAGGGTTTTCACTGGTGGATATTTTGGAAGTAGACCGCCAGGCCTTTCTTCCTGGTCCATCTTAGTCTGGAGGCTCCGCTGACACCTGTTCAGTATGCTAGCAACACGCAAACCTCCACTGACAGATGGGTGGTGGCTGCGCATGAGGTGCCTTGGTTGGGAGTGGAACCTGGGTCTCCTGCGTGGAAGGCGAGAATTCTACCGCTGAACCACCAATGTCTTCACAAATTAAAGTAGCCCCTATATATTGAGCACTTACTGCATACCAGACAGTGTGCTAAATACTTTATGCACATACTTTTATTCAAGAGACATTTGAGAGGCAATAGGATTGAGTCCCTGGGCGGTGCAAGCAGTTAAGCAATTGGCTACTAACCAAAACGTCAGCAGTTCAAACCCACCTAGAGGCACCTCGGAAGAAGGGCCTGGTGATCTACTTTTGAAATGTCACAGTCATGAAAACCCTATGGAGCGCAGTTCCGCTCTGCACACACGGGGTCGCCATGAGTCAAAATCAACTCGACAGCAGTGGGTTTGGTTTTGTTTTTTTCGAGAGGCAAGGGGCTAAAAACACAGACTCTGGAGCCAGACTGCCTGGGGTTCAAACCCCAGTTCTGCTGTACAAGCTGTGTGGCTTTGGGCAAGTTTCTTGACCTCTCTGTAAGCTAGTTTCCCTGTCTGTAAAATGGGAATGATAATAGCAGTACCCATCTCATTGGGTTGCTGTGAGGATTCAATGAGTTAACGCGTGTAAAACGCCCAGGTCTACAGGGCCCAGGCACATTTGAAGAATTCAAAAGGTCTTACTGTTTCCGTTATTAATTTATCGTTTTGTGATTAATCCGCACAGCATGAGATAGATGTCTGTATTGCCGCCTGTTTATAAGGGAGGTGGCTGAGGCACAGAGAGGTTAAGTCGTAGGTTATCAGTCACACAGCTGGAAAGGGGCAGAGTGAGGTTCAAATGCCATCATACCTACGCTACAGTAGCAGTCAGAGCAGTACTGCTGACCACCTATCTGTCTGCCCGTCTCCCGACTCCCCTGCCTTCCTCAACGCTGCACAGCCGGAAGGAATGAGAGTCAACAAAACCGTAGCTGTCCGCACGCTGGACCCAGAACACAAGGGCCAAGGTGAGTGGCTGCAGGAGAGGGCATGGGCACAGCCTGGGGCTGGCATACAGGGCCTGCGTGAGGCGGAGCCACAGGTGCCATCCATGTCTCCCACTCGCCCGGCAGGGGGAGTGCAGAAAGAGGAGATTACAGCGGCAGACCTCAGTGACCAAGTCCCAGACACGGAGTCAGAGACCAGGATCCTCCTACAAGGTGAGATACCCTTGGTCCTGACCCCATGATGCCCAGGAAGGCGTGGGGGGCCCAGTAGGGAATTCCATTTAATTCTGGGGGCGTTTAACCACTGTGGAGGCCCTGAGTGGTACAAACGGTGAACACACTCAGCTGCTAATGGAAAGGTTGGAGGTTCGAGTCCACCCAGAGGCGCCTCGGAAGAAAGGCCTAGTGTTCTGCTTCCGAAAACTCAGCCACTGGAAACCCTACGGAGTGCATTTCTACTCTGACACACATGGGGTCCCCATGAGTTCGAGTTCACTCAATGGCAACTGGTTTTTTCTAATTACTGCACCTCCCTCCTCAACTTCAGCTAAACAGCCCCTTTGACCTGTTTCACAGGAGCCCTGGTGGTGCAATGGTTAAGTGTTTGGCTGCTAACCGAAAGGTCGGTGGTTCAAACCCACCAGCCCCTCCATGGGAGAAAAGAGCTGGTGATCTGCTCCCGTAAAGGTTACAGCCTAGGAAACCCTGTGGGGCAGTTCTACTCTGCCATTTAGGGTCGCTATGAGTCAAACTGGTGGCACGGTGGTTGAGAGCTACAGCTGCTAACCAAAAGGTCAGCAGTTCAAATCCACCAGCCGCTCCTTGGAAACGCTATGGGGCAGTTCTACTCTGTCCTATACAGTCGCTGAGTCGGAATTGACTCCATGGCAATGGGCTTTATGAGTCAAAATCAACTCAACTGCACACAGCAGCCAATATAGAAGACTCCAGGCTGTAACCTTTACGGGAACAGATCGCCAGCTCTTTTCTCCCACCAAGGGGCTGGTGAGTTTGAACCACTGACCTTTCGGTTAGCAGCCAAGCACTTAACCATTGCGCCACCAGGGCTCCATGAAACTAGCATTTGCTGATAAAGAAGTTTCAATCAGAAGCAATGCAGTAGGAAATCAGAAATACTGGAGCTAATTGCCCAGGATGGAGGACAGGGGTGAAGGAGACCAGGAAGGGGTCTGCGGGCTGAGGCCTTGGGCAAGTTAGCCCCCCGGTGCCTTGGTTTCTTCATCTGTGAATGGGGCCAATAATGGTTATTTCCATGAAAGGGTTGTTGTGAGGATTGAATGAGATACTACATGGCATTCTCTTAGAATAACCAGACACCGTTGAGTCGATTCCAACTCATGGCACCCCCATGTGTGTCAGAACTGTGCTCCCTAGGGTTTTCAATGGCTGAGTTTTCAGAAATAAATCACCAGGCCTTTCTTCCGAGGCGCGCTTCTGGGTGGATCTGAACTGCCAACCTTTGGGTTAGCATTCAAGCGTGTTGTGAGTCGGAATCAACTCTATGCAAGGGGTTTTGGTATTAACCTAAAGGCTGGCAGTTTGAACCCACCCAGCAGCACCACGAAAGAAAGGCCTGGCAATCTACCTCCATAAAGATTACGGCCAAGAAAACCCTATGGAGCAGTTCTACTCTGTAATACATGGGGTTGCCATGAGTCGGAATCAACTCCATGGCAATGGGTTCGATTTTTTTTTTTTTTTTTTTTTGGTTACCGGAGTTATTTTATCTCTGGTGTAACAAGAGAACTTGTGAGCAGCACAAGCCCCCCTACTCCCAGCCCTTAGTTGTCCCTGAGCCCCTTGGCCTGGGGATGGTCTGCGCCTGGGATGCTGGGGAAGCCCCGACTCTCCTCACCCCACAGTGGGTCACCTGGCTTGAGCGCTGTTCCTCCTCCACCCCCCTCCACCCCCGCCCACTGCAGGGACCCCAGTGACCCAGATGGTAGAGGACGCCATCCACGGAGACCGGCTGAAGCACCTGATCGTGACGCCCTCGGGCTGTGGGGAGCAGAATATGATCGGCATGACGCCCACCGTCATTGCGGTGCACTACCTGGACCACACGGAGCAGTGGGAGAAGTTCGGCCTGGATAAGCGCCAGGAGGCCCTGGAGCTCATCAAGAAGGGTGAGTGCCCCCACCCCGCTGAGTGCTCGCCGTCCAAGATCCCTCTGCCCTTTCTGAGCGTCCTTCTCTCCCTGAGCCCCCTCCCCTCTGGGACCCCCTCAGAGACCCTGCCCTCTCTGCGACCCCCCTTGCTCCTCTCAGCCCCCTACCTGAACCCCTGTCTCTCTGAGGCCCCCGCTCCACCTTTTCTCTCTGAGACCCCTCTACCCTTTCCTCGTCTGTCTCCCCCTTTTTGAACTCCTCCCCCTCTCTGAGACCACCTTTCCCCTCTGAATCCCTCTCCTGAGACCACTTACCCTCTAAATCCGCTCCCGGTTCTCCTCCCTCCTTAACATACACCCCCTTTCCCCTGAAAGGGAGCCCTAGTGGCGCAGTGGTTAAGAGCTCGGCTGCTAACCAAAAGGTCGGCAGTTCGAATCCACCAGCTGCTCCTTGGAAACCCTATAGGGCAGTTCTACTCTGTCCTATAGGGTCGCTATATCCACTGGACGGCAACGGGTTTGTTTTTTTTCGTGGTTTCCCTGAAAGAGCCCCTCTTTCCTCTTGGAACCCCGTCCTATCCTTCACACAATCCCTGCCCCCTCTCTGAGCCCCTCCCGTCCGTGGCGCACCCTCCCCAGCCACCACGCCCTACACGGCTCTTGCCGCTTCCCCGCAGGGTACACCCAGCAGCTGGCCTTCAAACAACCCAACTCCGCCTACGCCGCCTTCCAGAACCGGCCGGCCAGCACCTGGTGAGTCTCCGGGAGGAGGGACCAGCTAGCGCAGCCATTTGTGGCACAAGGCCGGACCCCGCCACCTGCAGCGTCTAGCCGCTGGTTGACAGAGGGACCACTGGCCATGCACCTACAAGCGCTTGCAACACTTGGTGCTGAGCTCTGGAGAGCCCCGCACTGGGGCGGACCCGGGAGCGCGGGTCAGGCCCCGCCCCTCGCTGCTCACTGGTTTGCTGGGATGGCACTCTCCGGATCCTACAGCCGATTGGCTTATACTACGCTTAGTCCGGAGCCCAACCCACATAGGGGCGTACCCGAGAGCTCGTTGTTCATTGGGTCTTTTGATGGCACTCTTCGAATGCCACCGCTGACTGGCTCTTGCAACGCTTCGGCCTTAGCCCGCCCTACGATGGGGCGGACCCGGGAGTTGGGCGGGGGGGCTAGGCCCCGCCCCTCCCTGCTCATTGGTTGGCTGGGACGGCACTCTTCGGATCCCACAGCCTGGGCCCTCTTCCTGTACCACCCCCAGGCTGACTGCCTTCGTGGTCAAGGTCTTCTCCTTGGCCGCCAATGTCATCGCCATCGACTCCTTGGTCCTCTGCGGAGCGGTCAAATGGCTGATCCTGGAGAAGCAGAAGCCCGACGGCGTTTTCCAGGAGGATGGGCCCGTGATACACCAAGAAATGATTGTAAGTGGCAGGGATTGGGGATCCACTAGGGTAGAGCCATGAGCCGGGTGTCTCCCTCCTCCGTTGCAAAAGCCAGAGACCGGTGCAAAATGAAAACGAGGGCCCCTCCTTCCAAAAAGTACCAAGAATTTCATTAAACCAAGAGCAGGGCCCTCCTGAGTGTGGGGTGCTGCCTGGGAATCGCCTCTCAGGTTCAACCCATCCCAAGCCCCGCCCACTCTGCTTTGTGGATGATTCCCCAAAACGACCCCTTCCCCCCACCTCCTTGGCCACTCCCTCGTCCCAGCAGCCCCATCCCTCATTTGCAGTCTTGCAAAAGCCACTTCCTGGCCATTCTCCCTGCAGCCCCCCAACTCTTGTCCGCTTTCAGGCCCGCGCCTCACGGCAGCGTGGGGTGCATTTTTCACATCCAATCAGGTCACTGCTTAGAAGCTTCGGGGGTTTCCCATTGCTCTTAAAATAAACACAGAACTCCCTACAATGGTGGTTCTCAAAGTGTGGTCCCCAGACCTGGTAACTTACTAGAAACGCATATTCTCAGGCTGAACCCCAAACCCATTGAATCAGAAACTCTAGGGAGGGAAGGCGGCAGGAATCGGAGTTTTA